CAGCCATTAAAAGGAGGAACTATGTCATTAAAAACAAGATGAGTAAGATGATATTATGTTCCATGAACTAAGCCAAGGCACAGCAGGAAGCATGCACCATGATTCCATGAGGCCCATGTGACTTGCATGAAAGTTGTACTCATAGAAATAGATACAACTGGGCCAAGATATTTGTCTTTTGGCCCTGTTCTAGCTCTTTAATCTTGGCCCTGGGGTCTTTTCTGAAACTTATACTCCAACCAAGGAGCATTCATGGGGATAACCTAGAACCCCTGCACAGATGTAGCACAGATGTAGTTCAGTGTCCAAGTAGGTTCCATAGTAATGGGAACAGGAACATCTCTGACATGAACTGATTGGCCCGCTCTTTGATCACCTCCCCCTCAGGGGGGAGCAGCCTTGCTAGGCCACAGAGGAAGACAATGCAGCTAGCCTCTCCTGATGAGACCTGATAGACTAGGATCAGAAGGAAGGAGAGGAAGACCTCCTATATCAGTGGACTAGGGGAGGGGCATGGGTGAAGAAGGGGAAGGGATTGGGAGGGGAAAAGGGAGGGAGCTAAGGTGGGATACAAAGTGAATAAACTGTAATTAATAAAAATAAAAAATAAATAGATATAACAGATGTTAGGCAAAGAAAATAAGGTTACATTTATCTTGGATAAATACATTGTTATATATAAAATCATTTTAAAGAAAACAAAAACCTAGAATATTAAAACTTAATGCACAGTTATGAGCAAGTTTGTATATCGGGTTGATATTCTTGATAATCCTTATAAGATAAAGGAAGCAGGCACCTATAAATAAGGAAAACACCCCTCTTTACTTCCTTGGGCAGGATTGCATTGAACAGATTGAAACTGAAGTGCATTCAGGATACTGCATGCTCTCAGTGACTATATCTGTTTGGACATATAATTCTCTATAAAGCAGACAGATGTTACCATATTCTGTCACCTAAAACTCTTTAAATCTGTAAATTCATGGTCATGTAACTATATTTGTTATTGTAACATCCAGTGGCATGCTCACTTGGAAAACCTTACATGAGCCAGTACAAATGGTAGGTGTGTTTGTGTAAGAAAACCTGTTAAAGGATGCTACACAAATTCCAAACACTTTGGCCTTAGCTCTTTAATTGGAAATGGTGCTTTATTTGTGTCAAAGGTAACATCCACTTTCTATATCTAAACTTTCCACTAATGAAAAGGTTGTGTGTGCAAGTAACTATAAAGTGCCAGACCAATGCAAGGGTGTCGCTCATGATAGAAGCCAGTCCTTTGACACTTTCAGTCTTTTTTTTTTTCATTAATTTACTAATTTTTTTCATTTTGACACCCAATTGCAACCCCACCTCCTCATCTCCTCCCAGTCCCATCCACTTATGCCTTTCCTTCATACCCTCTTCCTTCTATCGCTGGATACCAACCCACTCTGGCACATCAAAATGCACCAGGACTAAGTGACTCCTCTTTCACTGAAGCAAGACAAGTCAGCCCTATTAGAGAAATAGGATCCAGAGGGACACAATAGAGTTCAAGTCAGAGACAGCCTCAGATCCTATTGTTAGGAGACCCACTTGAGGACTATGCAGCTTCAAAAGTAAAGGCACTTAGGACCACTCCATGCATGTTCTTTGGTTGGTGGTTCGGTCTCTATGAGCCCTATGGGCCCAGGTTAATTTGCTACATAGGTCTCCTTGTGGTATCCTTGACTCCTCTAGCTCCATTAATCCTTCCCCTAACTCTTCCATAATACTCACTGAGTCCCACCTAATGTTTGTCTGTGGGTCCCTGCTCTGTTTACATTATTTGCTGGGTAAAGCTTCTCAGACAACAGTTATTCTAAGTTAATAGTGTCAAGAGTTGGGTCTTTCACTGGTGGTGGGTCTCAAGTTGTGCCTGTCATTGGTTGGCCATTCCCTCAATCTATGTTTTATCTTTTATCTCTGCACATCTTGTAGGCAGAACAAATTTTGTGGGTGGGTTGGTGTCTTCTTTTTTCTACTGGAAGTCCTTCCTGGTTACAGGTTGTGGCCCCTTCAGTCTCAGTATACCCCACCTGCTAGAAGTCTCAGATAAGGGAACCCCCATATCTTTCCAGGAGCCTCCCCCATCATAGTTCTGCAGATTGTCACAGAAATGCCTCAATACCAATTTCCCTTCTTTCTCCTAGTCCTCTCAACTCCTATCCCTGCTGTCTCTTCATCTGATTACTCCCTTCTCCACTCCACCCTGTCTCTCACACATTACCCTCCCTCCTTTCACTTTCAATGTTTTTGATATATATTTTACTTCCCCTTCTTAGTGGGATTCAACTATCTTTCTTTGAATTCTCCTTGTTAGTTAGTATTTGGGGGATTGAATGCTGTAACATGGTTATCCTGAACTATATGGCTAATATATATTTATGAGTGAGTACATACCATGTACGTCCTTCTGGGTCTGGGTTACCTCAACAGGGTGATCTTTTCTACTTCCATCATTTACCTGCACATTTCATGATTTCCTTATTTTTAATAGCTGAGTGGCACTCCATTGTGTTAATATACCAGTTTCTTTATCCATTTTTCAGTTGAGAGATATCTGGACTGTGTCCAGTTTCTGGCTATTACAAATAAAGATGCTATAAACATAGTTGAGAAAATGTCCATGTGGCTTGGTGAAGCATATTTTGTGGTATGGCTGAGTTTTGAGGTAGAACAAGTCCCAATTTTCTGAGAAACTAGGAGCAACAAATAGTAAATGGGACCTCCTGAAACTTAAAATCTTCTGTAAGGCAAAGAATACCTTCAATAGGACAAAAGGGCAACCTACAAATTGGAAAAAGAATTTCACCAGTCCTACATCTGATAGAGGACCAATATCTAAACCATAAAGATCTTAAGAAATTAAGGACCAACAAAAAAAGTAACCCAATTAAAAAATAGGATCCATAACTAAACCAAGAATTCTCAACAGAGAACTCTCTAATGGCCAAGAAGCTCTTAAAGAAGTGTTCAATGTCCTTAGTCATCAGGAAAACACAAATCCAAACCACTCTGAGATTCTATCTTACACCCATCAGAATGGCTAAGATCAAAAATTCAACACATGCTGGCGAGGATGTGGAGCAAAGGGAACACTCCTCCATTGCTGGTCAGAGTGCAAACTTGTACAACCACTTTGGAAATCAATCTAATGTTTCCTTGGAAAATTGTACATAGTCTTTCTTAACTCACCATGCTTGCATCTTCCAACTAAAGGACTCAAGTGGACCCAAACCTCTAATAGTAAACCACAGTGCCCTCTAACCTGAGCATGGGGTGAGGTGGCAGTTCATGGGTTGCTTGAATAGGCTGTGCTGCCAGTGGTTCTCTTGCCTCTGGGAAGGGTTGGCCATCCACTGCACTTTGGATGCTTTTCATCTGTCCTCTGTTTGGCCTGTGATATTATCTTATTTTTAATTTCAGAAAAGTTGTAAAATCATAAGTTTAATGTTTAAGCTGCTCTCCTCCAATGACTTTAAATGAGTGATACTTCCACAAGGACAGGACTAGCTGGGCAGAGCACTTCTCATCTGTGATCTCAGAACTTTGAAAGCCCAGGCTACACAGTGAAACACTGTCTCAAGCAATACACAAATAGCAAGAAGAGGAAGTGAGGAGAAAGTAGGGGCTGTAATGGGGGTAAAAAGGAGGACTAGATTTTTTAAGACACCCGACAATCTGATTTTTTTTTTCACCTAGTTTCTTATATTTCAGTGTGAAAGCATTGCACTAAGGAAGGGGTAAGCTTGTACAACACTGCACAGAAAGATGTAGCTATGAAGTCCTTTGCTCCCTAGGCTCAATGTGTAGAGTACTCACCAGATGCAGAATTCTGAAAGAAAACACTGCTGAATATTTTAATATCAGACAGTGGAGCTATTTGCTAACATAATGTCTAAAGACTCAGATTTAACACACACACAAACTTGCTTCCTCCCGAGGAAGCTGCATTGTTTTTAATCTTCACTGCTTTCTTCTATAATTTTTGAGAAATGAATTTCAAGTTCAAAGACTCCAGTGGGAAACAGGGTCCAACAGTGGGAAAAGGGAGCTCACTAGTGGGTTTATTTTTCACCCTGAGCATTTAGACATTAATCACCCAGCTCTGAAGGATTTCTTTCTAACACTCTTTTCTGTGTAGAATAAGCACTGCAATTCATTCCACCGTGGGAGGAGACAGACTTTGCGAGGCAGTGCCTTTCTTGACTGTCCATCTCAAATTTAGTGTATGTGTATTAAGTATCAATGACCAATCTTAAATTATAACCTAATCTTTGGCGTTTCCTTCTTAATATTTCTCTCTTCAGAGGGTCAAAGACCATTTCCACCCCAGCATACCTTCCACTATCTGCTAAGGGAGGGGTGCTGTGCAATTACGGTGTGCCACAGTAGAAGGGAACTTTTTAATCACATTTTCCCATCTATCAATCTGAACCAAGAAAAAAGATATAAAAGTCATTCCTCACCAGATTTTTTTTGTGATGATTATCACACTACTCTAGTAAGAGTACCCTGACTTCTAGCCCTCAAGCTCAGAACCAGAGCGTACCTGCTTAACATCCTCTCAGGCTGAATTTTGATGAGCGTGATAGTACTCTCAGGAGGGCGACATAAGAGTATGTCTCATTACATGTTGATGGCAGAATTCGCCTAAGCCAGGTTTACCTGCTCTGCATCTGGGCTAAATTTCCCCTGCGTGGCTCCTGGTGCACAAGAGACCCTTCTCTTTAAGCCAGCCTCCGTACCCCCTCACTGCGCCCACACCCAGGTCTCTGGGTTGGTTTAAGCTTCCCAGAGCCTTGGTTGGTCCTGGCAGGCCATCAACAGATCCTCTGCTGGGGCGGTTGCTAGGAGGGCTGGGATGCAGTGGGGTAGCTGTGGGGGTTGTGTTTGTAGTACTCCCGGGAAGTCCTGATGTCACCAGAGCGGCAAGGACATCGCAAGGAGGAGTCGTGTTACAGTAAGGATGGGCAGTGGCGCGCACGGCCGGAGCACACGCTCCAGGCGAGGGGAATCATAGCCGGGAAGACGGGAGCCTGCACAGCGCCGCTCTCCCTGCCGCCGGGGAGGAGGCACGCTTCGCGCTGCTGCTCGCCACGCTGGAAACATTTACACTGACCGTACTATGCCTCGGCTCTGTTCGGCGTGCCAGCCCTGGGTGCGAGCGGAGGCTGAAGACGCCACAGTGGGGTTCCAGCTGGTTGATTAATGAGAAAAATAATGTATTTTGGTGAGTGTTAACTCTGATGATGCAATTCTGGGGTGTGCTAGGCAGCTCTCCATCAAGCAAGCAAACGTTTTTTTTTGTTTGTTTGTTTTTTGTCTGTGTGTCTGTGTTTGTTTGTTTTGTTTTTTGTTTTTTAATCTTTAAGCTGCAAGAATATTTACATCAAACCTACCTCCAGTTGGCGACTGGCTGACCCGCTAGTGCGGTATTAAAAGCTTCCTTTGTGCCATCTTTGGGGCTGGTAATCAATGTGCACCGAGGTAAGCTGGAAAAGAAGAGATGAGGGTGGGGTGGGTAAACTTTGCTTTGACTTGTGGGCACGAAGTTGGTTCATTTAGCTAGGTGAAAGAGAAGTGGTGCAGCCTGGGAAGTCATAGGCTAACTTAATGGAATGCCAGACAAAGTTCCCACACGGCTGATGTCCTGAGAGCTCAGTCAACAAGAACGTATGCTTCCTTAAGGACTGGGATTTTTCCTATTTAAGAGGCAGGAAAGGGAAGCATTGTCCAGCGAGCAAGCAGTCTTTCCCAGCTCGTTACTTCAGGCTAGGAGAGGATGGCACCAAATTCTTATTACTTTAAACCTTCCGGAGGTCACGGGGCTGTTAAATATGTGTGCGGTTTAGTTTGGGGCTGCGGTGGAATGCTCCCTGAGGTTTTCAGCTGAGCTGCCTGCCTTTGCAGAAAGCATGTAGATGCTTAGATGTGGGCTCTGGGCTGAGCACTGAGCAGGCTGGGAGCTGAGTTGTACCTTTGCACTGCAAAGCCGCAGCAGAGCAGCTTATATCTAAGGGAAGGCAGAGCCCTTCACTTATGAGCAAGAAACCAAGAAATAAGACTGAGGAGCCTTTCCTCCTCCCCGGAGTTATGCTTTCCTTCTCTAAGTCCCAGCCGGTGTCATCATTTAACAGCATCTTTCTGATACTAAAAGGTTTGTGAGAGCAACTGGAGTGGGGCTGGGGGTACTACTGTACACTGCAGACTCAAGCAATGGGTGATTCGGGGGGTTGCTCTAAGTAAAAAAATCAATAGTTTTCCTTTAAGCGAAATTTTGGTATGTGTGGATGGGGCACTATTACTTTGCTGGGCAGTATTTCCGTATATATTATTTGCTTTGCTTTGTCTTGTTTTTTGGAGCCTTTTGAAACATTTAAGAAAGTGTTCAAGGAACCCAAGTTGCAAAAGCTTAACACCCTTAGTTGTCTTGACAGCAGCTTTGATTGCCCTATAATTTGTGTCATATTAGAAAGAAAGCCTAAATGAGCCAGAATTGATTAGAAAGAAAAGATCCTGATTCCATAGTCCAATTCAAACAGAATCCAGACTTTAGTAGCACTTTTCCAGTGGGTAGCTGGAAGGGACATGCTTGCTTATTAGCAATGGATAGAACAGGATTCATCATGTGTGCATTTTTTGATAAATGAAGAAACTTGTAAAGAAAATGCATCTTCTGAACATAGTTAAATTTCAGCATCTATAATGAGGTTCATGAATATAAAAGAATGTTATCATTTTAGTTTTGGTTTTGGGGTCTTAAAAAAATGACTGGTGGATTTTGAAGTAGGACTGACCAGAGGAAACATGAGGAGTCTCAGAGTCAGGGTCAGAGGCTGTCCTTGCTGTGCTGAACTGTGATGTGGTGACTGAAGAAATGCTCACTAAGCTAGCTCATATTGTTAACTGTGTGCCAACCCAGTTGTTTTGGAAATCGGGCAAATCTACAGGCAATTAGTTTCATTGTGTAATGTAAGCTTTTAATAGTATGAATTGAAATGTAATGTCTTACTTATTTCAGCTGAAACTGCAGTTTTGGTAAAGTCAGGCTAAAGTTGCCTTTGGGGTCCTGAACATAGTTCTGTTTTACCATCATCCTCACTGTCATTCCAGTGTGAGAAATGGTTTTACATTCTTGCAGCAAGTAATGTGTATATCAAGAATGTAGGGTTTTGGCAAGTTAGGCTATGCAGCCTCTTACTGAACCCTTGAAGCCAAACTGCTTCTACGAAAATCTCCTGATGCTAGAGCTACATACACACATACACACATACATACGTCATAAAATGAGGATAACTTAGCATCATTCATTGCCATAGCAGGCTAATGTGTGTCTGCATGCATGTGCACATGTGTGTATGTTTATGTGCATATGTGTATAGATCTAAAATATTTCTCTTTCAGAGAGTTTTTATTTTTTGTGTTTGTTTTTGTGGTGGTTGTTTGTTGTTTAAAAACAGTTCTTTCAGAGCCATGCAGTGGAGGTTTATGCCTTTAATCCCAGCACTCAGGAGTCAGAGACATGGATCTCTGAGTTCAAGGGAAGCCTGAGTTCCAAAACAGCCAGGGCTACAACCCTGTCTCAAAAAACAAAAAGACAAACAAACAAACAAAGAAACAGTGCTTTCACTTGCAAATTTATTGACATTTCATTTTTTCTTTCTATTTTGAACTGCTAATGACTTATCAAGTCAGGACCAATAGGGACAAAGGAAAACAGACCTTCATTCTTGGGCTTCTCTGGTGCAGTGGGATACTGGTGTCAAAAGTCTTCTCTTTGTGTCCGTAGTAAGAGCAATGAAGAGCATGGTGACACTATGTGAAGAAGTGAACTGAGAAACAAGTGGGTTATCGCCTTCTCATACACATAACCTGTTTTGCAAGGTGTTGCCCCACTCCAGTGCAGGTGAAGACTCCTTTCCCAATAGGCTGGCTGGGCCTAGCTGTTTTAATCTTCTTCCCCTTGGGGCACTAAGTAGCTGGACCTCTGCAAGGTCAGCTGGGTGAATTGTTTGTGTATAAAAATGAGTGAGCTGTATATGATTTCCTTCTTAACACAGATCCTATCTAAATGTGTTTGCTCATACCTGTGGTGCCGATAGTCTTTTAATGACTTACAGCCCACTTTCATGTCCTATTGAGATTATAGTGTGGGTTTTCAGCAATTATCTGTACTTGTTATTTGGTGATTTGAGTTTGCAGTTCAGTCACTGTGGGTGCTCCTGTCAGTCTATCAATTTCACATTGATTATTGTAGTTAAATGTGAGAAACATAAAGGAGACAGAAGAGGGACAATCCCAGTCAGCAACCCAATCAGTGGCATGTAGTGTAAAAGCAAAGAGAAAATAACAAAGACTATGAAAGTAACCTTCCTGCCCCCATAAAGATTTTACAAAGTTAAAAATTATATGTGGATTAAATTATTAAGGATTGATAAACCTTAATAATTTATTCAGTACTGAAAGCCAGGCCCCTGGGAGACTTCTCCTCAGACCCATGAAGAGAGGGTCTGACTGACTCCCAGGGTGGTAGTCAGTACAATAGAGAGGGTTGCCAGTTCTCAGTGGGGCTGGAGAGTGCTGGTATGAAGTACAGATTGTTTGGTGAATGCATCACTGCAGTCACTCAGTGCCCAGCAGCAGCAGCTTGTAGTACATCCCTGTCTCTAGTTATGGGCACCACATGTCTGAATCATCTCCCTTCCCCCTCTCATTTTTTTTTTCTTGCTAGAGAGTCATCACTGACAGTGGACATGCCAACCACACAAACTGTCCTCAGTTGACCACAAAGGTGCCACACCTTGCCCTTATATGTCAGGAGAGAAACAAGGAGAGTAATTGTGCTTAGGAATTTCTGTTTGGCCAGAGCTGAGCCATCCAAATAGAAAATACAGCAAAAAGGCCGTCTAATAGTGGTTGGGGCCTACTCCTTGATAATAGTCCTATAAAAGAAAATGATGCAGCTGAAACAAATAGGCAGAACTGAGAGAAAAATGTTAGCACTCACTGCAAACGTTACTATAAATAGTATAATAATTAAACCCAGAGAAAGGACAAGCAAATTTTAGAAAGTGTGACTGAGCTGTTCAAGTTCAGCTTGATGTTAACTGTAGATTGGCCGTGTCCTTTAAAATGACTAAGGAAAGGAAGACAAATGCATAATGATGTGCCTTTCATATAAAATAATGCTTTAGAGGCAAGTTTTAATACAACAAGTAGATAGAAAATGCCTAAAGAACACTCTTCTCCTTGTAACATATCTGCATGTTCAGCTTTGGAAGGACTGTTTTCCCCGGGATATTTAAAACAGTTTACCTTAATGTTTGCATCTTGGGCAGTGGTTTAACTCTGCCTTTTCACCTCTGAGTCAGGGTATTGGAAAGTCAGTTGTGCAGTGAGGAAGGGATGAGCAGAAAACAGTAGACAGCAGAGAGAAGCATCCCTTTCTGTGCTTGCAACTCCTTTTCTTTTGCAGTAAACCAGCCATTATGAGAAATGAGGTTTGGGAATGGCTTTCCATTTACCCAAGAGATATTTTTATTTCCCCTGAAGATAATAACAACAGAGAATAATTTAGGAAGTGACAAATCCAAGTTCCCCTCTTCAAATGTTGACTTCATACTATCATGTCTTATTATAAATGGATCACCATGGCATACCATTCAATATTAGAAACTAGGGATGGAGACTGTGACTGACACTTGCTGTCAGGAAGGGGCTTGGAAAGAACCTTGAATCTAAGGGACCTACAAACAAGTTCTCCTTAAAGCTGGTTTCCCTCAGAATTTATTTGAAGCTATCATTTTAAAAACCTAAATTTGGGAAGGATGGGGTTGGGAGGTATGAGGGTGGGGCTACAGCTGGGATACAAAGTGAATAAATTGTAATAAATAAAAAATTATATAAAAAAACTAAAGTTAGTCATTGTAACAGTACCCTGATTCTTTAACATAGCCTTATATTTTCTGCATTCTACCCTTGTTTTTTTTTTCCTTTTTCTTTTTCTTAAAGGCCATTCTTAGTTGCTATAATTATATGGAAATGAGATGAGTTTATCTAAGGAATAAATCCCAAAATTCATGAGATAATGAAGACTTACAAAGTTACCCTTTTGTGGGTGGCAAGTTGTTCTGAAAAACAAATGAAAATTTTAAATTAGTGGTTTCTGTCTTCCTTTGCAAAAGATGTTTCTCCGGCTTCTAGTGATTGAGACCTCTTCTGTTAAGATTA